AGCGTCCTCATGGGGGCCAATATTGCAAATGAAGTGGCAGAAGAGAAGTTCTGTGAAACAACCATCGGTAAGGAGCCAAAAACCCCCCTCAGCAGCAGCCTTCACCCCAGAGGAGTGGGAAGAGTCAAAGGGCTGAGCGTGGTGCAGCTCAAACCGCTGCTGCCTTGCGTGAGCTGACCCCAGCAAAGGCAGTGCCGCTCCATAGGAGCCGGATGAGCTCATTCACAGGGTTCACAATGTGATTGCTCGCTTCATTAAAACCAGAGCTGTGTGTCTAAAAGTTCCTGCCAGCACAGACTCAGCATCAGGCAGCGTGCCTGGCACAAATCAAAGGGGTGGACACCAAGAGGCCCTTTACAAATAGAGTTCCTACCTTCGCTTCCTTGCACTTCAAGGGACGCTCACCTGGATCCTGTGTTGTTGCCAGGCAGGGCTGCTTGAAAGCTCATCTGGTGGCTGTTGCTAACATCCTCCACACTGTTTGTGAATCAGGCACAGCAGCCACAACCAACAGGCCAGTTTGCTGCTGGGTTAGAAGTTCCAGGATTCAAAGGGTCTGTATTTCCAACAAAAGCAAACGTGCTGTGCAGGAGGGGGCAGAGAGCGGAGAGGTACAAACAGAGCATGTTACCACTGCGAGCACAGAGATGCTCTTGCACTGCAGGAACAGGGAGAACAGCAGTCTCCAAACCCAGATTTGCAGCCTTTGAAGATGCCTTTCATTTACTGGACATGTAATTTCCTGACACAGCAGCAGGGACTGTCCCTGTGTCCTGGGAATTCCAAGGCCGAACCTTGCTTATCTGCCCTGCAATCTGAACCTGCAAATGTTTAGCAATGCCCATCAGTTGGGCAATAGGTTCCTCTCGCTGCCCTAGCTGCAAGGGCTTTTGCTGCAGGAACACACCACTGGGCAGGAGAACAGCACAGTGCTACCATAGGGCCTTCCCCCATCATCTTCCTCCTTCCCCCATTGTCTTATCAGGCTGCAAGGACCTGCAGCACGGGCAGACACTGAAGGAGCTGATGCAGACACCGAATTTCCGGGTGACAGTGGTGCAGGAAGCTGACACTGTGGAGATCTGTGGGGCTCTCAAGGTGGGTGAGCTGCTCACTGGGCTTTGCAGGGCTTCATTAGCAGAGCCTGTTACTCCCTATGGCCCTGCAGGCAGCTATGGGGGGGAGGCTAACAGCAGAATGAACCCTTCTGGGTACTGCACTGTGGCTCACTGAGACCTTTGGGTCAAAGGCCCTTTGGATGTTTCCTGTTCAGCTGCTTGGAGCGATGATGATCACTGGATCATCAGGAGCAGGCAGGAGCCTGTGCTTGGGATTACACTGGCAGCTCATGGACACAGCAAAGCCCTGAGCTCCACTGGGAACAGATGCTGCTGTTTTCCAGAACGTCGTGGCTGTAGCAGCAGGTTTCTGTGATGGGCTCGGCTATGGAGACAACACGAAGGCTGCCGTGATCCGACTGGGGCTGATGGAGATGATCGGCTTTGCCAAACTCTTCTGCAAGGGCCCTGTCACCTCCTCCACGTTCCTGCAGAGCTGTGGGGTTGCTGATCTCATCACTACCTGCTACGGTGGCCGCAACCGAAAGGTGGCCGAGGCTTTTGCCAAGACTGGGAAGGTAAGAGGAGCAACCCTGGGACTGCATCCCCATGCTGAGGGAAACCCAGTCAGCAGCGTGGTACATCCTGCCTTCACTCGCCCAGTGCCAGAGCCTGGCTCCAGGGAAGGGATGTGGGGTGGCAGATGGGGTTGCAGGGTCCAGTTCCCTCACTTGTTGGGTTGTTTCAGTCTCTTGAGCAGCTGGAGAAGGAGATGCTGAACGGGCAGAAGCTGCAGGGTCCCCAGACGTCTGCTGAGCTCCATCGCATCCTGAAAAGCAAGAATGCGGTAGAGAAGTGAGTGCTGCCATCTCCCTTGTCTGCTCTTTTGGGGGGGGGCAGAAGGGGAACCCCCTTCAGTGTCCCTGCTCTTCAGGACAATCTCTGCATTGCCCACATCAAACCAGCTGGCCAGGAATGGCCTGTTGGATGAGGCAGCAGGACACTGCCCTATCTGCTCCTGCCCACTGGTCCTGCGTGTCACTGCAGGAGGTGCTCTGACCCTGCCAGCTGTGGTGACTTTGTTCCTCTGCCCACAGGTTCCCCCTCTTCACAGCTGTGTATCAGATCTGCTATGAGGGCAAACCCATCACTGATATCATCAAGTGCCTCCAGAACCACCCTGAGCACATGTAAGGGGGCTCTGCCTGCAAGACCTGAGCCTGCCAAGATGAGCAGAGAGCTACAGCTTTGTAAGGAGCCCAGGTCTCCTGGGAGCCTTTGCAGGGTGCTGGAAGGGCAGAGGGTCCCTTCCTCAGCCTTGGACACTGCCAGCCTGAGCCTGGCATCGCACAGAGGTACCTGGTGATCTCCCTTTCTCTTTGAAGGGCTCATTTAGCTTCTGCTGCTGTTTAGGCTCTGCCCTGAGCAGGGCTGAGCATCTTCCTCCTTCTACTTTCTCCTGCTGTGATGAACTCAGTTCTCAGAGGGATGCTGCCAGGTCACCTTAAGGAGGCACTGCCTGGAGGACAAGCTTTGCTGTTAGCCCCATGGAGCCACTCTACATGATACCAGCCCTCTCCTGCTCACTGCTCTTGCTTTTGGCTTAGAGGACACAGTTCCCTGCCAGGCTCCACCAGGGTGAATGAGGCTCCCTAGGACCTGTGAGGGGCTGAGAATCACTCTTCTTTCTAAGCAGCCCAGCACAGAACCCAGCATCTTTTGCCATGTTGCCATGTGCTGCTGCCCCAGCCACCCCCAGCTGCTCTGCCCAATGTTTTGTGTGTGAGGGCACTTGTTCATTTAGGCTTTTGGCTCTTGCACTCAAACCTCCCCTGTTGTCACAGTGCTGATTCCATGCTCAACCCTGGCCAGCCTTTCTCCCTCACTGGTTTGTTCTCTTGGCTTTGGCAATGCAGGGACCAACTGCCCCAAAGTCTTTGTGAGCAGCTCTAAAAGTGCAGCCCTTGGCTGTGGACCTGACAGAGCAGTTGGGTCATGTTACCTTTAGATGGATGAGCCACAGCAGCTTTTTGCCTTCTCTCTGCCTTGCTGCACTCTGTGCCTTAGCCCAGTCTTTGCTTCTATATGTGGCTTTCTAGGAGCTGAGAAAGCAGGTTCCATGCTTCCTTTCCCTGCTGCCCCTCTTGTGAGGGTGCTGGAAAGTGCCCTGGCACAAGGGGCAGCAAAGGATACGTGATCCACAAAGAGCTGCAAGGAGACCTCCGATGTCACAGGCGAGGCCAGAGGTCTCATGCCTCATGCTGTGCCTTTGCCACTTGCCCCATGTCCAGCCGGGTGCCGCGTGCTTCCCGGTCCTCTGAAGCTGCTCCTGGTTGCCCAGGCCAGCGTGGCCAGTTCAGTGATCCCTGTCTGGGCTGGCAGGCTGGAGCTGCCCCACGGCTCGCTGTCCACCCCTGTTCCAGGTCCTCGAGCTGCTGGCTCTCTGCCTAGCCCTGTACCTTAGGAATGTTTAAAGCAATAATAAAGGTGGAGAGGAGCTGGGAGACACGCTCTTTGCTCTGTGGCATCGTTGCCTTTGGGTTGGTGCCTGCTGGACTTGCTGACAGTGCAGAGAAGGGCACTGTTCGTTCCCTCCTGGCTCTGCACCCTTGTCTGCTGTCCCAGAAACAGCAAGAACGCCCCTGCAGGTCCTCGCTCAGTCACAACACAGCTCAGTGTCCCACTTGCCTTCTCTCAGCAGTGTTGCCTTGTAGGAGTGAAGAGGGTTGAGGTTGTAATGGTGGAACTGGGTACAGAGACCAAAGTCTTCTACCTGGGGCCTGCAGGAGCTGGGCCAGGACCCTGCTGTGCCCATGTACCCAAGGCCACCCCCCTGTGATGTCTTGGCTTCTTGGAACATGCCGTGTTCCTTTCTTCATCTCTTCCCAAGCGCTTTTCCCAGCCTTGCCCTGTCCCTGCCTTTCTTTGAAATGCATCTCACACTGAGTGACCTTTCCAGAGCCGTTCGCCCTCTGCTCAGCCTCTTGCGAGGGGAATTCAATCTGCTGGCACTGCGGTCCTTTCTGTGTCTTTTATTAGACACGCTTCCTCGCCGGGCCCCCTCCGACCTTTAACGGATAACCGAGCTATCCTGCAGCAAGCAGCCAGCATCAGCTTCCTCTCACAGGGAACTCTGTTGATGTTGGAAGGAGGATAAGGGAAGTGAAGCGCGGTCCCGCAGGGCTGGCACAACTCCTGCTTCCCTTTGCCTTCACGGGCTTCAGGCATCCCAGTTTAAGTGTTTGGATGTGAGGCTCGGAGCTCTCCTCCTTCAGGGCACTGCAGTCCCTCACCTTGTCTTGGTCAACTCTTGCCAGCCCCTGCCTGGGGCTGCAGCAGGCCTGGGATCGGGGCTGGGAGCTGCATTCATGTGACAGCTCCTCAGCCGCGGAAGCGCTTTGTGCATCCCTCCTGCGGGTACCGGGGCCCGAGGCCCTGCAGCCCCTCGCTGTGCCTGCTGAAGGCCCCATGGCCGCTGCTCCAGGCCCTTGCTGCTCGCCACCCCCTGCCTTGCCCTGCTGCTGGAGTCCAGCAGCTATAAAAAGCCTTCCCTTTGCCATTTGGGGTTATGTTCTGCAGACTCAGCACATCCAGGCGCTGCGGCCTGGGGAGAGGATGGGGGAGCGGGGAGGGGTGGAGGGGGGGCTTGGCTCCTGCAGCCTCAGCGCTCCACAGAGCCCCTGGAGCAGCGCAGCGCGGACACAGCCGCATCCATGGGGCTCGGGGAGGGTGGCCCGTGGGGTGCCTCCTGCAGAAGGGCCGGCACAAGGGTAGCGCTGAGGAGAAATGGCCGGGAGGGGGTGCAGCGCCCGCGGCCGCCATGACCCGAGGTGGGCGCCGAGCCCCTGAGGTGAAACAACCCCGCCTCCACCCGCCAGGGGGCGCTGCAGCTCCCCACGGCGCTTCCCGCCTTCGCGGACTACACATCCCAGCAGGCAGCGCGGCGGGCCCTGCACCCACGTGACAGGCGGAGGGCGGAAGCGCCGCGCAACCAGGCCGCGCCGGTGGAAGCGGAGCCGGAGAGAGCAGGTACGGGCGTAGGGAGCGGGTAACGGGCGCGCTCCCGGCGGGCGAGGGCGCGCTCCCGGCGGCGCTGACCCTCTCGTTGCGTTGCAGGAGCAGCCATGGTGTCCGGCAAGCAGCTGGCGGACTTCGGCTACAAGGCCTTCTCCGGGTCCATGATGCTGCTGACGGTGTACGCCGGGTACCTGTGCAGCGTCCGCGCCTACCGCCTGCTCGAGCGCCGCCGGGAGCGGCAGGCCGCGGCCGGCCCCGAGAGCTGAGCGCGGCTTGGGGCCTGGGACAGCGTTTCCCGACTGGGGGGGAAGCAAGGGACACTCCCCCCCCCCCCGGCCGAGTGCTGGTGGAAGAAGTGGAGCACAATAATATCCGTTATAAATATGTATAATAAAGTATAATGGAAACAGCCAAGGGTGGGGCCGTGCTCTGTGTGCCCAAAGTGGGGTGGTGACACCCCAGAGCAGTGCTATGTACCCAAAATGGCACGATGACACCCCAAAATGGTGCTGTGTGCCCCCAAAAAGGCATGGTGACACCCCAAAATAGTGCTGTGTGCCCCCCAAAAGGCACGGTGACACCCCAAAATGGTGCTCTCCATGCCCAAAATAGTGGTGTGACACCCCAAAATGGTGCTTTGTGTGCCCAAAATGGGGTGGTGACACCCCAAAACAGTGCTATGTACCCAAAATGGCACGGTGACACCCAAAATAGTGCTGTGTGTGCCCAAAACAGTGTGGTGATGCACCAAAGCAGTGGTATGTGCCCAAAATGGCACAGTGACACCCCAAAATGGTGCTGTGCGTGCCCAAAATGGCACGGTGACATCCCAGAACAGTGCTCTGCATGCCTAAAATGGTGGTGTGACCCCCCAAAATGATGCTGTGTGTGCCCAAAATGGGGTGATGACACCCCAAAACAGTGCTATGTACCCAAAATGGCATGGTGACACCCCAAAATGGTGCTGTGTGCCCCCAAAAAGGCATGGTGACACCCCAGAATGGTGCCGTGTGCCCCCAAAAAGGCATGGTGACACCCCAAAATGGTGCTCTCCATGCCCAAAATAGTGGTGTGACACCCCAAAATGGTGCTTTGTGTGCCCAAAATGGGGTGGTGACACCCCAAAACAGTGCTATGTACCCAAAATGGCACGGTGACACCCAAAATAGTGCTGTGTGTGCCCAAAACAGTGTGGTGATGCACCAAAGCAGTGGTATGTGCCCAAAATGGCACGGTGACATCCCAGAACAGTGCTCTGCATGCCTAAAATGGTGGTGTGACCCCCCCAAAATGATGCTGTGTGTGCCCAAAATGGGGTGGTGACACCCCAAAGCAGTGCTATGTACCCAAAATGGCATGGTGACACCCCAAAATGGTGCTGTGTGTGCCCAAAATGGCATGGTGACACCCCAGAACAGTGCTCTGCATGCCTAAAATGGTGGTGTGACACCCCAAAATGATGCTGTGTGTGCCCAAAATGGGGTGGTGACACCCCAAAGCAGTGCTATGTACCCAAACTGGCACGGTGACACCCCAAAATGGTGCTCTGTGTGCCCAGAGTGGGATGGTGACACCCTAAACCAGGTACCTGTGAGGCTTCAACCGCTGCTTCCCAGCCTCAGGCAGTAGGGCAGCTGCTCAACATCCCAGCAAAAGGACAGACCCCGTCCTTGATTTCAGGCCTCACACTGAACCACATCAGTGACATTTCTGAAGCATCTTTTAATCAGAGATAAGAGTAAACAATGGTATAAAACGGTAACAACTCCAGAAGTTTCCAAACTTCTGCTCATGATTGACACAGGTCTTCCATTGCCCCCAAGTACCATTAAGTAAAAAAAAGAGACCAAAAAGCAAAGCCTGTGGTGGGGCTGCCTCTCCAGCCCAGGGATTCCTCCATTAACAGCTGCAAAACCAGAGCAGCAACACTGACTCCTGTCTCAAGAGTACAGCCAAGCAGGTCCAAACCACCTTATTTTGGGGAAATACAGCCCACCAGTACTGGTCCAACCTCAAGTCCCAGCTTAGCCAACCGTGTCCAGTAGGTCTAGGGAAGTCTTCAAAACCACCAGTTGCAACAGAAAAGACATGAATTTAAAAGGCATTATTGTGATAGCTGTCTCAGAGGCAATGAACAACCCCCCTCCCCAGCTCAGAAGGCTGTAGTCAAGACTTCAGAGGGGCTTGCAGCACCGAAGTAGGCAGCAAACGCTGGCCTGGTCCCTCATGACAGCAGGGAGCTAAGTGACAACCTTCACATAGAGCACCCTGATGGCAAGTTAGAACGTTTCTGGTGTAGCCTGGTCCAGTTCAAAGCTGGGCTGGAGTCCAGAGTGCTCACAGCAGGGCTAAGAATGAATGTACCCAAGCCACAGCCGGGGTAGCTTGGACATGGAACCACAGGACCCCACATTCTCCGTGCTCTGAAGTGGCTTCTGGAGTGCATCGGGGAGATAATGCAGAGCCTGTGCTGGAGCAAACCATCACTGGAATGGCAGCAGAGCCCTCCTGTGGCCAGCAGCCAGCCGAGTCCAAACTCCTTCCAGCTTGAGTTGATCCTAGTAAAAACCAGTTTGCCACAAAGACACCTCTCTGCCGATATCGATGGGTCTAAGATTTAAGTACAAAATGGCTTGAAGTGAAATCTGCAGCTTCGTTTTTGCCCTAAGTCATTGGCTTTATCCCTTTGGTTGTGCAAAGCCTCTGACTGGTCTGGATTGTGCCCATTTCAGATTTGCTGGAGGTTTCTGGGGAAGGGGTATCTTGATTAAAGATCACTTGGGAATGTGGAGCTCAACACATCTAGATATTTAAAGACAAGTTCGTGTTTGCTCTAGGCCAACCCACAGCCTTACTCGTCTTCTGTCCACTGCCCACCAGCCACATGGCCATTAATGCAGTTGGAGCCGTTACTTGAAGTGCTGAAAACTCCTTTTGTGCTGTTGGAAGTCACCTCCTCCTCTTCAGAGCTGCTCTCCACATCACTGCGGTCATCTTTGGATACCTGAGCATTTCAAAAGGAAATTGGGCAGTAGCATGGGGGGAAAGGGAGGGTGAAAAATTCACAGGAAACAGTAGTTAGAAGCTTGCATCCATGCGATGAACCAAACATTCGATCCTGAATCACTTCAAGCTCCCAAGAGGGAATCACATACAGAATGCAAGACACATACACAGAAAGGGACAATTTGGAAACAGGAGTCCCCAGGGATGCTGGGGAGGGACTCTTCATTAGGGACTGTAGTGATAGGACAAGGGGTAATGGGTTCAAACTTAAACAGGGGAAGTTTAGATGGGATCTAAGGAGGAAATTCTTTCCTCCTAGGGTGGTGAGGCACTGGAATGGGTTGCCCAGGGAGGTTGTGAATGCTCCATCCCTGGCAGTGTTCAAGGCCAGGCTGGACGAAGCCTTGGGTGAGATGGTTTAGTGTGAGGTGTTGGAACTTGATGATCTTAAGGTCCTTCACAACCCTAACTATTCCATGATTCTGTGTTCCAAATACTCTACATCTGTGAAAGCAGTTCCCAGATCAGAGGACAATCTGGCTGTTCTTGTTCATTCTAGATGGGCTAAAGGCCACTTTCCCAACCAACACACTTGTTTTGAATCACCCAACTTCTCGCAGCATAATGAGCTCTGTGATGCCCAAAGCCCATGGATCTACACAGCACTTGGAGAGAGAACATTCTGTCCTAGAGGGAGTGGCTTGGAGACTTTAAAAATTAACCAGCTGTATTTATCACATCACTGTTTGCACAAAGTGCCTCCCAGTCTCACAGCTTGTGGTTCATGCACCATAACTCATTTACAAGCAGAAGCCTGTTCTGTAGCCCCCTGTCCAAACACAGACAACTATCCCTTCCACCAAACACCCGCTCAGGAACACAAGGAGCATCTCAGCCCTTAGATCTAGATCTGCTTTGCAGAGTTATGCCTTCGGTTAAAGGACTGACCTCAAACCCAGCTGAATTCCCTTTGCATGTGGGGTTTTGAACCTACAGAAGCAGACCCAGGCACACCCTGGTGCCAGCCGCTGCGGATGCCGCAGGAGGGCACTGTACCAGCAGACAGCCAACACACCAGAAGGTGAAGGAAGACATCACAAGCCCGGCCCCAACTGCAAACAAGCACTTTGGTTGGTGGCAGGGAGCCAGAGCCATAAACTCACCAGCGCTCAGCAGTGAGTGGTGAGCAGCCTGTGCTTTGCATACCCCAAGGCAGGTTCTTCACACTTTTGCAGCTAATAGCCCTCATTTACTTAATAGGTGAAGCACTTAGTCCTTCCCAAGGGTTTCACCCTACTCTGCCCTAAGTCAGAGCTCGGGTTTTTGAACAGCAGCAGGCAGGAAGTTTTTGAACTCAAAGGAAGATCTGGAGGAAAGCCAGGTAAAGTCAATGATCTCCAGGATTGGTTCTGACAGCCCTGTTGGATGTCCTGGCTTCTGCCTCTTGCCAGCACTTCTGCTATCTTGCCCTGTTCTCCTGCTAGGCTGGAAGTTCAAAGTCACTGGAAGGAAACTGAAATCCCTGGAAACCTGCCCCATTATCTGGGGGACAAGTGACTGCTTTACTCCTTTTAGCAAAAAGCACTGCATTGCTCCTGTGCTCTTCTACTCAGCACAGTGTTCATGAGACAGGTATCAGAGTCGCTGTGGGCGTAGCAAAGCAGAAAGGTGAAGGTCATGCAACCTGCTGAAGGCAGATAAGAACAAGCCCCAGGACACTGCTCTGACCTTTGGAAAAGGCTTCATTTTAGCATAACTATGAGAACCAGCACTCTATCAGCCAGGGAGAGAAGCATTTTTAGAGAAGGTACCAGCCATTTAAAGCCCCAAGACCAGGTCTTTGCTTTTGTCTTAGCCTGGAAACAGCCAGAGGCGCATTTCAGTGAACAACCAGAAGCACAGATCACACTTACATGCAAGGGATGAAACTGTCAGGCTCCAATCTGGCACAGAGAAAAGGAGGAAAGAATGAAGAAGACAGAGCTTAGAGTCCTTTCACTGGCTAGGTCACCTGGACAGGAGAGAACCAAGGAAAGGAAAAAGATGTAGACCTCAGGCTACAGAAACAGGCAGAAAATAAGACATTTGCAGTAGCAGCTATGGGGAGCAGATATAAAGATTATGTATATACTGCCTCAGACAACTACCATGTATTTTTCAAGCTTACATTCCATGTGTAGGGGCAGCTAAGGAGTGAAACCAAGCAGAGTCATCAGAGAAACTCAGATCAAAATACCAAGGGTCTGATTAAAATAAAAGCAAAGGCATTTGTGCTAGGAGATTGGCTGTTGCTCTCTGGCAGCTGCAAAGGAAGTGGCTTCTCTTGATGTTTAGGCAAGGTGTGAAATTAGTTTCCAGCCTGGCTTGCTCCGTTTCGTGCTACTTCAGCTGAAGTCACCTTTTTGCTTGGCAACTGAGGTTGCTGCTGAAAGTCAGCACTGTTCACTCCTGGGGCAGTGTGTGTTGTGGACCAGCTGTTGTTGTCTCACCTTCCCTCTCCCTAAAACTTCCAAACCAACTTAGAATTGGAATACTAAGGACTGAATGCAGACTGTACCACATCAGCCCAGTGACAACCAGCAAACCACAGCATTTCTGATAACCCTTTCTCATCTGCATGCTGTAGCTCAGTGCCTGGCCTGCCCTGACAGCCAGAACCTGCCTTAGTGCTAAGAAGTGGAAGATGCAGAACTCCTGTTACATCCCAAGAACCAGCTGAAGTTGGAAAGCATCCTGTATGGTTGTTCAAAAAGAGAGCCTACTATCACCTTTAAAACATCACCATCATTACAACATCTGAATATGCTAGAAAATGGTGGTGTTTCCCTGAACCACCAGAACAGAGGAACACATCCTCTTGGTATACACCTGTCAATTTAAGTCTGCAGAGCACCCAAGGTAAAAACCTGCTGCTCTACAAAGCATTCCTGATGCAAGCCCTCAAGAACCAGCACCAGCCCTCACTGAAGAGCCCAGTTCCTCGTGACTGCTTTAAGAGGGCTTGTAGGAAAGAGGTCCCAGGACAGTGGCCAGCAATCTTACCTTTCCCCGCATGAGGGCCTTGTAGGCAGTGCGAATGATGAGATAAGACCAGATGATATGCAGGATCTGCAAAGTCACCAAGAGCCCATTGAAAAGCCACCACGAAGGGTATGGACCAATCAACTCCCAGCTTTCAAATAGGGTTGTATTCAAAATCCTAAAAGAGATCCAGAAACGCATTACACATGGGCTGTGCTGGGAATGCAGCTCTACATAAAGATGCCTGACCAGATGCACACCAGTTTGTAGCTCATTTAAGCATCTGTTGCTTTGCCTTTGCTCCTGTCAGTACAGTGATGCAGCTTGTCTCTTGCCAGTGTTAGGAGACAGACTAAAGCTAATTAGAAACAGTTGAACTGAGCAACAAACACAGGAGATGCGAGTGTTCTGCAATCTGGTCACACATCCAGACCTGCTGCCAATTTCCTTCTCCAAAGCATGAGCATTTATAATAACCTTACAGGAAGTGATGTCAAGCTGCACTGGTCATCAAAACAACTGTTAACACGTTCATACCTGGGCAGTCTTCACCCATATTTAAAGACCAGGAAGGAATTTTGTTCCTGTTAGGCCTCCCTCCCTCCCTGTGTGCTGTTCTCTTCCCTCAGACGTTTATAGGTTTCTCCTGCCAAGCTGGAGAACTAGAAACTGCTTTATGGCCACAACTTTGTGCTTGCTTTCATGACTGTTGTGCTCTTCTTGTAGCTGGGAGTTATTGCCAGTACTTAAGTCATTTAATAAACACTTTAGATTTTATGAAGCAAAGGGGTATAGAGAAACCTCTAAAGATGTCATTAATTCCACATTGCTTTTAACATCTCACAAGAAAAACAAACCTTGCAGAGAAGAACCCAAGTCCCCAAAATGCTATTGAAGCTTCTAACTCATAGCCAGCTTATGGATGACTTGAATGCAACTTCGGAGAACTGTCAAAAGTTTTATACTACTAATCAGGGAAGGGAGTATCCTGAAGTGGAATAGCACAGGGTCTGCAGCACTGCTGCAAGCCTGCCAGGTTCCTCTACAAAGCTGAGGGATTACATTACAGCCAGTGGAAAATACATTAAAGATTTACAGGACTGCTGAGCAATAGCATGTTGCAAAAGCATCACCTCATGACAGACAACAGCTATAAAAACAATGGCAATATCTCATCTGTCACTGGAAGGAGCTTATAAAGATGGAAGCATTAAAGCTCCTCCTTATCCTGACTCCTTTGGTGTGCTTACTGGAAAACAAGCAAGAGCTTTTATTGCAACCCTGATATCAAAGTGTATTGTTTCTGCCTACCATCAAGGTACCCAAAAAGAATGGGAATGCAAGCTGCCCAGTGCCTAGGAAAGAAATATATGCAGTAAACCTGAAAGAAACTGGGTAGTAACCACGTGTAACCAATTTTTCACCACACTCTTTCAACAGAATCAAGAAATGAGTAAGAGCTCAGCAACAGAATCACCTCACCAAGCCTAACCCATCGTGATGAAAGAGAATGTCATTACAGGATGACTTGCCCTAAGCCATTTAGCCAGGGTTTTACCTCCCAAGAAACCCAAGACCTATTTCAGACTCTGCACAGTCACAGCACAAGGATATGACATGAGTGTTGTAAGAATCAGAGCCCTGGGTGACCTGGTTTAGCGTGAGGTGTCCCTGCTCATGGCAGGGGGGTCGGAACTGGATGACTTTAAGGTCCTTTCCAATCCAAACCATTCTATGATTAGGATTCCAGTTGCTTTTCACACTCCCTTAGTTGAGAGGTTTCTTCACACTTAAGTTGAACATACTGCTCCAAACAGTACGTGGGTTGTCTGCACCTTCAGGCTGCCTTAAGGGACAGGCAGAATGCTTGCAAGAAGTCTAAATACAAAGGCTGTGCTTGAAGGACTGGAAGAACAAACAAGACCTCCCAGCTCCAGGTGCTTACCAGAAAGGATAAATGCCCAACCGTGTAACAATGAATACGACACCAAAGAGCATGAAGAAAGCATCACACAGACGTTGGTACTTGGCATAATTGGCTAGCTTTGCAGCCTAAAAGACACAAGAAACAGGAGAATATGATTCCCTTTGTACAAGTCATGGAATTACCAGGCTGTAGAGCTTCAAAATCCTTCAAGCTATTCCATTTATCAGGGGTTTGGAATATTTAGGGATTATTCTCAGCACTAAAGCAGTTAGGAGGTAAAGCTGACAAGGCAGGATCAGCAGCACAAGTTTTATTTATTATGCAGCTTATCAAGAATGGCAAAGTCAGCTTGCTCCCGAGAGCACACTGGCATCAGGTATGCAAAGAGCCAAAAGGCAACTCACCTCTAAAAGGAAATCTGATGCATCATGGAGACACAGCACCAGAGTTCCAACCCGCACCATATTATTCATATAAGAGAAGGTAATAAGTCCAATTGTGGCCAAATGATGGACAAACATGATCAGGAAGTCCTGGAAACAGAAGAAAAATGAGTTGGGCTGACAAACAAATACAAATGTTTGGAAGAGAGCCACAAAACTAACTGGGGTCAGAGGATTACTTTAGGTCAGACTCACTCCACTTTATATAAAGCACAGCTCATCACACAACATCAACCATCATCTCTAAAGGTTCCAGAAAGGTCTCTTGCAGCATTTGTGCTCCTGTGAAGTCAGAACTCTGCATGCACAGGCACAAGGATACATAAGTGTGCAGACCCCACTGAAAAGAGTGACAGGACAACATGGGGCCCTTATTTTTGGCTTCACAATCAATCTGATTCCAGCAATCACACCCAGTCACCATCCTGCTACACGCATTTATTACTGCTTTAGTGTTTGCCATTTCCTCACCCAGCTCAGCAAGGTATGCTTTGAGCATCTCATTTTCATGCTTTCTTGCCAGCCTTCTAATTAAATCTATCTTTCTGCAGTGATTTGGTAACTTTTGATTGGGAACTCCTGAGTGATTCTGTTCTTTCTCCTGGAAGGTGAAAGGGACTTTCAAGGCTATACGAGGCTGCATAGCAGCCTTGCTCCTCCCTTTTTCCCAGGCCTGGCTAGCAATTACAGAAGGAGCCAGGGTACCCAAAGATGTAAATGAAGAAGAAAATACAGCTATTATTATGCTTTAACTTTACTTCTTTGTTAGTGCTGTCTACTTAGCAAAGAGGTTAGTGCAATTCTGCTTAATCTCACCTTCCGTTTAATGTCTGTAAACTGAGAAAACATGAGAGACCAATAGAAGGCCAGCTCCAAGATATAGTAATAATAAAGCCTGGATGTTAGAGGCTGGAAAACAAAGATAGCACAGTTAGAGGAAAAAGTACTTCAAAATTTACATTAAAATTGACTTTTTCCTTCCCATCCCACTCTGTTCCTCCAGAATGCTGAGGCATAACTTAAAAGATCCAGAATTAAGGTTTAGTGAAAATCAGCCTAAGCACGCTTACTCTAGGCTTAGTCACACCAACATACTTGTGTGTTTGAGCTTTGCTCAAATGGAGCAAGATTCCCTTGTCAATATTTATAACTCATACTCCAGCTTCCTGGATTAGGCAAACAGGGCACTGAAACAGACTTGCTGACCTCTATACAATCATATTTGCTGCATCATGAAAACAACACTGTACATAAGTTACCAGTGTAATTTTAATGCCTTTTATTCTTCCACTTTTAATTATCTCAGCACCAGGTAAACATAAAACAAATACGAACAGAGTCAGTTGTAGCTGTGGCAACACCGCTGCTGACAAAGCTAACCAGGATCTGAAGACATAACAAATGCCGTCTTTCACCTTTCAGAAGGGATGGCCATTCACTCAATAGAAAGCTGACTAGGTTGCAGCCTCCACCCAACAGAATAAGGAGCAGCACTCAAACCTACTGAGTTTTAATCTGCTTTCAGTGGAGTTCAAATTCAATCATTAAAGAAAAAAAACCTGTAATTGTGCAGCAATTTGGGATCTACTCAGTGTTTCTCTCCTACCTGAAAAGGGTAGTTGTACCAGCACTGTCGTGTGTCCCAAAACCAGGGTGCCTAAGGGGAAAAAGATAAGTTACTACCCTACTGGGCTTTTCTGTCCTATTATCCACGGCAGTTGACCACTGCAGTATTGTTTCACTGAATTTTAATCTTGATTTTACCATTCAGGCTTAGATTTATTCCACAACACCCTAGGGATGTAAAACATTCTTTCTGCAGTCAAAGGCGAGTTAAACTGCACTGGAAACTCGAAGAATAATCATACAGCTCTAATAACAATAAAGACCCAGAATGATGAAACTGTTTCCCTTCAGGAGGGAGATGAGGAAATACAAAAGTAGCTCTCCATAGCAAAAATACCTACCCAGTTCTATCCCATAATGGGGTAGCAGGACATTTTGTCAACATTTCCATAATGACAGAGCTGTACAGAAGCTTTGCTGTAAAGAAGGTGCTTAAACAGAAACCCCAGATCTCAAATGAGGGACATAAGGATGACAATCACCACTAATTCCCCTTTGTTTAAAGCTGGGTGCAAGCACAGAAGTGACCCAGATAGTGAAACCCCTCAATTTCAGCAGGGCAAGCATAGCCCAGCTGCATGTCACACACGGCAACAACAGGGGGGTGAGAGAGCAACTCACCGTCCAGAGAAATCTGATTCCATAAAAAAATATACATAAATAAAATGTAAATCTCCACCTGGAAAAAGAAGCAAAAATTACATTTATGAAAGGAAATAGCTTCTGGTTAACATTCAGAACAAAAACTGGAACAACTGCGAAAAACACCCCCAATTCTGACATCTGAAAAGCTTTTACCCACCAAAGTAATGCTTCATTTGTCAACACTTCATGTAAGGATAAACCTATTTAAGGGCTTTCACACTGTATGAGTTGGCATCAAGAACCAAGCTCGAAATAAAGCTTGTGAACATGCATCATTCATATCTTTTATATGCAATAATGAGATAACAAGGTAAGTCATTGTTATCCAGAAGGTATCCTAATACATGTACTTATCCCTCTTACCTTGTGGCTTTAAGTAGACAAAACCATACTGGGGGAAGAATTAATATGAAGAAAGTTACTGGAAAGGAAAGAAACCAGCACAGAAGAAATAAGTCAGGAAAAAAATATTCAGATGCTACTACACTAACAGAGGTCACGGCAAGCATTCAGAAAGAAACACAGACCAAAAGAATGAACTGAAATGAAAAGAACAGGAATCCAAGAAGTGTCTCTATAAAAGTACATACATCCTTGTGGAAGCCACAAGGTCATTCTGTCTGGGAGCAAACGCTGGTCTACAACATAACTGTGCTGAGAGCAGACTGTAATTCCTCATGTGTAATTCCTCAAGCTGTGCATGCATGCACATGTGTGCACTACAGTGTATTAAGGAGCTCATCATAGAATGACAGAATGGTTTGGGGTGGAAAGGACCTTAAGTTCATCCAGTTCCAGCCCCCCTGCATGGGCAGGAACAGCTTCCACTAGACCATGATGCTCCAAGCCCCGTCCAGCCTGGCCTTGAACACTGCCAGGGATGGAGCATTCACCACTTCTTTGGGCAACCTGTTCCCACTGTCTAAAGCTGCTCGTCATTGACAGGAGTCAATGTGTCCTGTACATGTGTTCTGGTCCCTCATGCACATACACAAAGCATTTGAGAATACTGAATTCTAAAAAGCCATCCTAACTTCTTTCATTTGCTTATACAAGAATTTATCTTCCAGCAGCCAACCCCAGTTTAAATGAGCGGCTGACCACAGTTCCAGTGACAAAAGAGCACACAGAGCTGGTGCTTTAAGATGAAGCCACATCTTGGCCTCTGCACAAACATACATGCTCTCACAAAATTTAGTGAGGGTGGTGGGCTTGTCCTGGTTCCTCCGGTGACGAAACCAGCGCTGGATCTTCCGAACATCCCAGTCCAGCTGCTTTGACAGGCCTTCTAACCTCCTTCCATCTGGAGACTGAAGGAAAATGGAACAAGTGTCATTTCTCCTACTTCTTAATCTCCTTTCAGCCCAAGATCCCCTTTGTGCTATGATAGAAACGAAATACACAGAACACACGCAGTAGGAAGGCACTAGTATGGACTAGAAGTAAGATCCAGTTGCCACATATGTTCATTCAAGCTTAACCTCCATAAGCCACTAATTACTTAATTATTCAGAATGCTTTTGGTTTAATATTTCATCATCTGACAGCACATCACAACACAGAATGCAATTGTTCTGCTTCTTAATTTGGGGGGAGGAGCTTTTAAAAGGTCCTGTCCTACCTGTTAAAACCTGCCCATCAATTCAAACAGTTCAGAACGCAGGTCTACATTTAAGGGCTGCTACTCACTGCAAGTTTAGGGATACTGGAAAGGAAGAGCTGGTCTAGCACACTAGTTGTTTCTATATTCCAGAGGGGCATCATAGAGATGATCTTATTTCCATTATCAAAGTTTATGAATAAAATCTGAATACTGAAATATCTGTGCAATAAAAAAACCCGTATCACTGTTCTCTGGCTGGAAGCTACTGGCAGTTTAGTGGTTTGAATAATGACATAAATGGATTTATAAGAGATAAAGTGAACAAAACCTGATAACTACCTCTAAAACGGGCCAGTGGAGAGATAAGCCATGTTAGTGCCAGACCAGTGTCCTTTTAACAAGCTCTGCCAGGGAGCTCTTACAACTGAAAGATGATAAACACATTTTACTACTTGAGTTACACACAAATCCAAGAAGTATGAAGAATGCTGATTCAACAGTCACCAGACTGTTCAACTGGAAAGCAAAATCATTGGATTTTCAGTACCGAGACCATGACTTTCCTGTAATTCCATCACAACCAGATCTCTCTGCACTTTACTTGGTTTTAACAGTTTGGGCTACCTGACACTTCCACAATGCCACTGAACCTCCCTCAAAGGAGAATTTACAGAGCTCCAGTTTCAGAACAGCAATGGAACCTTTCCCCTGCATCAGTGCTACCTACATTCTGGTTGTGTATACTGGTACAGTTAAACACAGCTCTGTTTTCATTAAGCCAGATAAATTCTGCAGTGTGTGTCCTCGTGGGTTCTCTAAACATTAATTTCAAGGACAGAAAAAGTCCTCCCCACAAAAGGCGTCAGATCATAGGGACTTTTCAGTTCACACATCAACCAAAACACCTCAAAACGTCAATGAGGCGAGTTTTAGAAAGGTCTCTATAGGATTTCCCTTCCATTCACTTATCTGCTCCACTCAGGATGAAGTTCAGCATCCCCAAATCAGAACATAAACCTTTCCATTTCACTATCTTTAATGAAAATCTCTTATGCTGCCTGCGTGGATTTTGCTGTCAGCATTCAACAGAGTACAGACAGTATGGAACTGTGGAATTCTGAAGTGAAGGAGCACTGTCAGCTTAAGCAAAAGGCCATGAAACAATCAAAAGAAGCACCTACTGTCCTACCCTTTATCACAGCACACTGCCATTGACTGAACACTTTCCATAACTGCCTTCCACTGTGACAGCTATTGTCCAATTCCACAGTAGATGGCAAAAAATAAGAGGAAAGCATTCACAAAAGTGGCCAATAAAACCAGCAAATGAGCAGATCTCAAGAGAGTTGCACTTTTCGAACAGAAAGTGAAAGATATTGGGAAATTTTTTGTGAAACCGAGAATTACCACTTGTTACAAAAATTACCATTTAGCCAAAAGCACAAACTAAAGGAAGGAGCCTCTCAGCTTTCTAAAAAGGAGAACATTTTTATATTCAAAAGATATTCTGTGCACAAAAGCAGAGGTCAGCTATAAGAAGATTTATGTGGCTCCAAGAAGGACACGCTAAAGGCAAAGTAAAATAAGGAAGAGCAGCCTCGTTGTGCATGCACAGTGTGAAATGCATTTCTCTCTAATTAGAAAAGTGGAAGCAAAAAGCTTCCCCCCTCCCTTATTTACAGGGCTCCATTTCTAGCAGAATTTGAAGCAGGACTCACCTTAGTGATGGATGTAAACACTTTCTCTAAAATTGCATTGGGCTGGGCTCTGTGAGGTCCACTGTCTTGAATGCCAAGGTTTATGGCACATGGCTTGGCAATAAACCTGAAAGAGTTCCAAAGAAAGAGCTAGATTAAACCCAGGCATCCATTTCCCTCCTCTGCCTCAGTCACAGGGACCCTGACTTGTGACCCACTGCAAAACCTATCCTAAAAGCTTTTGAAAAGCTTCACTCACTTTGCTTAAAGAAACTTCAGAGGTGAAGTACGATCTTTCATTAGTCCAAATGGTAACTGCAGACAGTACACACATCTAAAAAGAGAATTAAATCTTAATGTCCTTGGCTTGCAAGGACCAGAATGTGTTCCCCAGGGTGATTCTCGTTACTCAGAGATGTAAGAGTAGATCACTGATAGGAGTCCTCAGCAAACATAAATGCTGGAGCCTTGCAGCACCAGGAACAAAATGCCTTATTTCTAGAACGTGCCTTGGAGTCAACATAGCTGAGAGAAAAGGGAAGTTCCAAGTGGCACAGCTCCTGAAAGACCCAGGTTTTGGGTTGGTTTTGCTTTTGTTTCTCCTTTGGGAAAAATAAAGTGGCTGTTTCCTTTGGAAGAGTGAGGAAGACCTAAGAAGTCAGCCTGAAAGACCCAGGATCTCAGTATCCCTCTCAGTCCTGTGCGCACCATGAACTCCAAAAGCTGATCTAACACTCTCTGAATGCTACAGCACAGACTCTGAAAACAAGCCTGGGATTTGCAACTAAAATCAACAAGTACATCAAAAACCTCGTAGTATTTGCTATATCTTTGTGTCAGAAGGGGCACAGGACTCTAAGGAATGCGCTACCTGAACACATGGATTTTCTCTCCTGTTGGTGGGCAAGAAAGGGGGGGTTGTTCTAATGATTTTGAGAGAAAGAGAGCACAAAGAACCTGTTTCACAAAGCTGATTTGAAACGGAGCCAACACTGGCATCATTAAATCTATTTTGCTGCTAAACAGAGATTGTTTCAGAGAACTCAAGACAACAAATTACACGTGTTCCATTTAGCAGACTCTGAGTGCCATCAAGCAGAAAGCACTGCTCTTCCCAACCACTCCACTTGTCACCATTTCTCCTTGTGTTTAAGAAGAGAGATAAAATGATTCTACAATTCTCAAATTCAGGAGGATCCCAACTATGCGATTCCAACAGCAGTCATTCCTAGGAGTACATTCTTAGTACTTGGGTAACAACTAGCCAAGAACAGACACAGGTTGTGGGGTTTTCCCCCTTGAGAAATTACAAGCAGCTCATGACTAATCCTAAACGAACACCCCCGCTCTCAGAAAACACTAAACAAGTAACAGCCACTGCAGCCCCAGTGCTAACAAACACTCTCCTGCCCCATTTCTTCCTATGTCCTGTTCAACAGTCATAGCTTAAAAAAAACCCAAACCATCTATCTATATAAAACAAAAAGGAAAGAGTAATTTCCTTTTAGCTCGGCTCAAAAGGCTCACTGCTTCCTCTATAACCTGGACCACCAGTCAGAAATCATGCTCTGATGTTATGAAACATTTGGCTGGACCCCATAAAAGCAGATTATCTTTATACTCTTCTTTCCTACAGGATATACCACCACAACAACGAAGTACACATGTGCTATTACAGGATGCCAAGTATTTTTACTTCATTCACTGTGACACAGCTCTTTAAAAAAACCCAAAACTGGCCTAAAGATGCTCAGTTTGGGGCAGTTTCCTCACATGAAAGAGAAAAACCTAAAAATCTAAAAATCAATCAATTTATTACTCGGGAGAGTTTGAAGAACAAGTAAAAAAGATAAGGGGTGGTTAAGAAAGGTCATAGTGATCCAGGCAAAGTTTTGGCACTATCCTAGAACTCAAAATTTGAAGCATCAAGGAAAGAAGAAACAGCATCTCCTCAGAAAAAAATGATACAGGAATAATTCAGTTTGGGGATCAAAGACTGGGGGAAGCACTGAAACTTCCAAACTTGGCATTAAACTGTTCCTGAGTAGAAGCTTCCTTCACTAGCAGGTTTAAGGGGAAAAATACATGAATCAAGAGTAAGCCACATGCTACAGATACAGCCCAGGACTCGCATTACTCAGTCAAGCATAGAGGTGACCAAAGAGCAAACCAAAACCACCCCTGCAAACGTTTCTGGGTGCACAGCAGCAGCCACACATCAACACAAGCAAAGGGAGAAGTCACAACAATGGAAGCAAAGGGAGGTAGCCCCAGTCCCAGAAACAGGAAGGAAAAAGGATGGCAGCACTGGATTTCACTACTTTTAAGGAAGTCTAACTCAACACCACAATGCAGCTTCTCTAACCCCACAGGCAAAGGCTTCATGCAATGGAACTGCAAATGGCACAAGAAGGACACCTGAGAAGCCACACAAGGTGTTTTCACCTGGGCTGGGCACGGCTCACACTCAGGAGTCCCCTGAACTGCCACCATCCAATTGCTTTGACCAGTTACTACCCTGCCGGTGTGATATGAAGTGAATCCTGTTGTCAGTCAGAAAAGCATCAAGACCACATGCCAGTTCCTTTAGGTGTCCGTTAAGGGAAACTCACACTTAAAACCTCTGTGGCATCTTGTATTTCTGGCTGCAGAATGGGGTTGCAGATGTGCAAGTTTGCGCTGTGTCCCACAGAGAAATAAGTCTGCATAGCAAGAGCAGTTAAAGCACCAAAACAAAGGACTTCCATTCTTGGGGACAGTCAAACCTGAAGAGCACAAGACCAGGAGCAACCTGCCTTGACTAACACTGGCCTTGCTTTGAGAGGAGTGAACAAGGTGACCTCCAGAGGTCCCTTTTAATCTAAATTATTTTATGATTCAACTAAAATTGTAACTGCAGCAACGATTCCCAAGGTTAATCTACTGCCACACCTTCCCTGCAAGGAACCATCATCACTTAAATACTCCCATTACACTTCTCTGAACAGGTATCTGCTCACTGACTTATTGTTGCTCCTACCAAGCCATCTTTTTCATGCTAGTTATTAAGACAGACTGATTTTGAAACAAAACAACTCTTTTCATGTACTCATAATGAATGCATCTCAGGCATGTTGTACTTCACAAACCCAAGGTCAGAAGCCTTCATTAGGGAACACTGAACTCCCTATTACAGCACTGAAAAGGAAGAACAATCTGTGAAATAGATAAGTTTTATAAAGTATGCGCTTAAAGTAAGAGTTCATCTTTCCATCCTCTCTCAGCTTCACTGTGCTGAGATTAAACCACCTCATTCCACAACTGTCCCTCATTTTCCAAGCAGTCCTAATGAAGTAACAGCTAAAAATCAACTTTCCCTCCCCCCAGCTTGAGCACACACTGCGGATCCTTCCTCAGACCTGTCAAGTAACAAGGATATCTGTTACTGATGGGCATTCCAGTGTCATTATAAACACATCAGATCAATACCAGGCTCCAGGTTTATGATACCTGGGAATTATTTGGGGGCGGGGGAGGTGTGTATGTTGTGCCTGCAGTGGAACAAGATGCACAAGCAGAAATAACAGTGGTTATAAGCCCTTCTTTATCTTGCCTGCACAAAAATCCACCCCCCTACCACTAAGGCAGGACTTTACCTTCCTCTACAAGTCTTGCCTCATCTCTATAGTCATATACTGCTCACACAGAGTCAGCCTAATTAATATTTTACCAACATCATGATGTAAAGTCACTTTATAGGAGCATTCGCTAAGAGAAATAGGTGTCAGTGTCACAAAAGCACCGACTTCCTCACACTGAAGATCTGCAGCAAAAGGAGAGAGAAAAGAATGAAGCTAGAACAAAAGAGCTGCACAAGTACAGAATTCAAGTTCTGAGTCATCAAATCCAACTGTCAAATGCATGTCAAGGAAGGCACTTGACACAATCATGCTCAAAGCCTCAATCGGGATAGATGCGCAACAGGGTTTTATTAAGATCAATTTGAACTAACGTGTCCAGAGTGGCAGGAGGAAAGAGAAGAGCATTTCTTAGAGAATACCGTCTTTTAAACTAAATATACTAGAAACTGCCCCAGCTGCTGCTCTCACTTCAGGGTACCCCTGTGGAGACACACCAGAGCAGACAGAGCTGAAATAAAGGAACAACCCTGCCAGGAACCAGGCCCCAGTCTCAAAGTTTTACTGGGTAGCAGAGAACTTGTCATTTGACTCATCCCCAAATTAACATATTTCAAAAAGCAGGTACACATCATCAGGTTAAATGAACTGCTCCCAGGAGGACTGTGTCACTAGGTGCGGTAGGATGCACTGGATCTCTCCTAACAGCTCATACTCCAGAGAAAGGAGAACCTTCTGCACATCTTCCCCAGACTAAGACACCTGAACTAAGCAGAGCTTGGGAAGTGAGGCCTTCCTACACTGTCCCTTTCAGGGGTATCATTATGTCTCACAACTTCCTTTCCTTGTCTGCTGACAAGCATGAACATTTGGCCAAGACCAGCAGTAGCGCACCAAGCCGAGATGAGATTTTGGCACTGCCACGTGTGTGCCTGGAGCCTCTGCATTGGTTTGAGCTGCCACTGGTTTTCTGAAGTTGTTTGGGTGGTTTTTGGAGGACAGAAAGATAAGATGGAGGGGAAAAAAACGGGCATCTCACATTTCTTTCCTGCTTTGCTGACCTGCTTCATTTTCCTCTACAGTTCATGTGTCTTTTTACTGCATCCCACTCCCCTCTGCTCGTTTAACTGAGAGCTCAAGAAAAGTCACTTCTTACAGAAAATCCACAAACCCAACGCAACTCAGTTCCTACTCACTTCAGTTCTGCAATCCTTTTCATGCTTTGAAATAGAATCATAGAACAGTTAGGTTGGAAAGGATCTTAAGATCATCAAGTTCCAACCCCTGCCATGGGCAGGGACACCTCACACTAAACCAGGGCACCCAAGGCTCTGTTCAACCTGGCCTTGAACACTGCCAGGGATGGAGCATTCACAGCCTCCCTGGGCACCCATTCCAGTGCCTCACCACCCTCTCAGCAAAGAATTTCCTCCTTAGATCCAATCTAAACTTCCCCTGTTTCAGATTGAACCCGTTACCCCTTGTCCTATCACTACAGTCCCTAATGAAGAGTCCCTCCCCAGCATCCCTATAGGCCCCCTTCAGACACTGGAAGCTGCTCTGAGGTCTCCACGCAGCCTTCTCTTCTCCAGGCTGAACAGCCCCAACTTTCTCAGCCTGTCTCCATACAGGAGGTGCTCTGGTCGCCTGCTCATCCTCGTGGCCTCCTCTGGACTTGTTCCAACAGTTCCATGTCCTTCTTATGGTGAGGACATGCTGATTTCATGTACTCCAGTGCTTTCAATGTAGAAATCAATCTTTAATGAAGTGCTTGAACAAGGTGTCTTGGTCTGCTTCACCTAACGGTTCCCCTCAATCAGCTGCTTCACTAATTAGCATCTCTGCTACCCACAGAGTCTGCCCTGCATGCCGCTGGGAGAGATACACATCGCAGGGAGGATAAACCTCTGCCCCAGGGAAGAGTTAACACCCTGTTTATGGATACTCAAGGAACACGATACGGAATTACACCTGTTTACGGGCAGCTATACTGATGGGCTACACCTCCATCACGCCCGAGATGCAGGGGATCCACAAACTGTTTAATAATATACTAGGCCATGGGAACAAGTCCTTGTTTCCTCATCCAGGAACTCACAAGGATACAACAAAAGCAACCCAAGCAAACCAGCCGCAGCGCAGCGGCCGCCGGTTCTCCCACCCAGGAGAAGGAAGGAAAGGGAATTCCAGACATTTTCCTTGCACTACCTCAGCATAAGGTACCCCTCGCACTAAGGGAGCCTCGAGGGATGCAAAGCCAAGGAAGCGAGGAGCCCGGCGGGCTCGTGTATGTCGCGACAGACACAGCGAGGCTCTCGGGATAGGTTTTTCTCGGTTACACAATATCCTCTTTGCACGCAAAAAGAGACCCCGCGTGCAAAGACCCCGCCACGGCCTCCGCGCTGCCTGAGGAGCGAGCGGGGCCCCCCTCGCCACCGGCCCGGCCTGAGGCCGCTCCACAGCCCCGTTGCTAAGAGACACCGGGGGGCTCGCCCCCGAGGCGGGACCGGGCAGCGCCCCGGCCGCCTCAGAGCCCCGCGGCGGAGGCGGTCCCGCGCTCACCTCTCGAAGAGCAGCCGCACAGCGAAGATGCCGAGCGCCAGCGGGAAGGCGGAGAGGACGTGGCCCGCCCGCGGGTACTGCAGCCCGCTGCCCGGCGGGCCCGGCTCCCCGGCCAGGTCCGCCCACGTCACGTTGTGCGGCAGCCAGAACCGCTCATTCCAGAACCAGGCCCGCAGCGCCGCTGCCGCGGCCGCCGCCATCTTCCGCCGCCTGCCTCCCTCCCTCCCGGCGGCCGCAGCTGAGGCGGCCACCGCAGCCCACAGAGGGGCGGGGCCGGCCCGCCCCTCCCGCCGGGCAGCGCGCACGCGCGGGGTGGGCGTGGCTTCACCCGGCCACGCCCCCGCTGTGGACCGTTAGTCCGGAGCAGGCGCAGTGTGGCGTTGGTGGGGTCGTGCGCGCGCTGCCTCAGGGCTCGCCGCGCTAAGGGGGCTCCAAAGGCGCTTCCGAAGCCCCAGAGAGGGGTTTCCGCGAGTAGGCACGAGTTGTTCTGACTGAAAAAGCCCTCAAGACAGTGTTCAATGCGGCCTAAACCCCGAGGGGAGGCCCCGGCTGAGGCAGGCGCCGAGCACAGCCCCAGCGCTGTAGGTAAATCACCTCCCCGCACCTCCGCTTCCTCAGGCGGGCTCGTATCGACTCTGAAAGCTGCCAGTAGGACAGTGCAATTTGTCGTGTGAAGGGTAAGATAGCAAGGATTAGCTTTAATAGCGATGCGTTTTAACAACATTTAAGCACAACAGCTACACTGGCTGGTAACGTTTAAAATATTCCTTATAGCATTTAAAACACTCATAAAAATCTGTGTTCTAGCTTCTCAGTCCTGTGATGAGGGTTATTGAGTAACAATTGGGCAAGCTTTTCACTTAGGCTCCCAAGCTCCATAAAGGTGGCCAGCATCAACTTCCTTGTGCACTGTAGCAAATGATCCATCCTTCATATAATAGCTCTTCTGGCATCTGTCCAGTTGAGAGCAAATTAAACGGCACATTAAGCACTCAAATACTATGATAACTAATAGATTCAGGGACAGGCTTGTTCATGATTCACTTTTCTTTAATCAAGGACTTTATTTAAAAGTACCACTTGTGCTAATTTCTCCTGGACCATGTTCAGCCAGTGAGTGATGAGCACGGGTCCTTGTATCTCAGACTCGCAGCTGCCTCAGATTTAACCAGAACTAATGATTTACACCATTAAAGTCTCTGCTAACTGCAGAGTGTTGCTTTAGCATTATGCAGCTGGGGATGCATTGTAAAATTCAATTGCGTTTCCTAAGAAACGAGTAGTTTCTTAGGAACACATCCAATAAATCCAAACGCATAAATATTCTTCCCTTCCTTTTCAAATACACTGAGCACAATTTCCAGCCAGAAAGATCTCTGACTGCTTAGTAATTGGAGGAAACCTGATACCAAATGCATTTTGTTAGGAAGAGATAAAAGATGACAGAAAGCAGCATATGCTTGCACAGCAGCTTTCTCAGTTTTGCAGTACCTCCATCTGTACAAATCACATCTTACTTCTCCCTTAAGAAGAAAGAAAAATTAGCAGTATGTTGTACACTTTATGTTGTGAAATTGCTGCTATGTTCCAGCTAGATAGCAGGCTGCTTCTCCCTTCTCTCTCCCTCCTTCCCCTATATAGATGTCATACACACATGCATTTTCTCATGCTGCTGCAGGGTACTTCTTGGTCTTAAGCCTCTGTCTCTCCCAACCAAACCCACCTCAAGCTTAAGTGAAGATGACTGCAATATAAAACAGCTTATAGGAAGGAGAAAGAAAAAAACCTCTCATCTGTCCTCAGCTATCATGTCAGAGAACCACCTAAACCCAGAAATGGAAGTGTAAAATACCTGCACCTTCTTATTTCTTTTGCCCATCCTGTTCTAATCACTCTTCCACAGCCTGCTGCGGATGAGAGCACGGTCTGCCCGTTCGGCTGCGAACAGGCAAAAAGCGAACACACAGTGTCACCTAGTGGCACCACAAAAACCACCGCCTGGTCTCCAGCTTCCAGTTACAACACCGGGATTTCACCCAGCTTCTCCCAGGGTCTTTCTTAAATGCCACCTCTTAGTGAATCGAGTATGAACCCAGTTTTCAGGCTTAAATTTTCATGGAAATGATCAAACTTTATTGAAGGTTTTGTAGTTAGCAGGACCGTTAAGAAAGCAGAATATTTTACACCTCAAGTATAAGTAAAGAGCTAATTCTCATGAGAATACAGTACAAATATAAGCTAATATAAAAGGGCATCCTCCTTCCACTGTTCAAGATTTCATTATTTGTAAAATAAATGAAGTCAAGTTTAAAAATGTACTAAGCTTCAATGCCAGCAATCAAAGTTGCACTGTTCAGATGGGTTTATTCCAGAGATTTTCCCAATGCAGCATAATTTCACAGCTGTAATGAAAAGATTTATGGCAGCTTGATACAAGTAGGATTTCAAAGTTGTCAAAAGGCCTTAAAATATTATCTGCAGTTTACAATGAATGATGATGAACTCCAAGTAAAAAAAAAAAAACAACAACAAAGAAAACAAAAAACCCACTTCAAATGCACATGAAATGCAAAAGTAATGCCCTGCAGGCTACTGCAAAAGGGTTGACTTGTCCTCAAAGAGATCTGTCAGTCAGCACAGCTTCTGGATAAGCACTAAAATACATGCGTTCCAGCAATGGGCACACCATTCCAGTTACACAGAGGAAAACAAGGAGAAGAGGGAGTCTTCAATTGCTGAAAGGTAGTTTTGAGAATGAAAATCACATTGCACTCAGTTGGAGATGGTTTCATTGATTGATACTAAGCACATAAATGTTTTAATTGTCAAAAAAACAGCCCAGTTGTGCCCTTTAACTGTATTTAAAGTGCATTAAGTTACCATTTTTAAAGTAGGCCAGAAAGTCCCTTTGAAATTGGTCCCTAAGCACTGCAGTAGCATTTGTAGTGGTAGAAGTAGTGTATTATAGAAAGCCTGTTTCACAACAGCACTGTGAGCACAGTGAAATTCCATAAATTGTTAATGTAATATGTAGTGAAGCTCAAAAGGGGTAAGACAGTAGGAGTACAAAACAGCTCTGTTCCCATGCTGTGGACACAGATTACCTGTTGAAGCTATCCCACAGCTTGATACTTGCTTCCATGCACCTAAATTGCAGGCTTCCAGAGTATTTTCCTGGATATTTGAGATACTTTGCACATAGAATTCCCTTGATGTCAATGTGCAGTACAGCATCGCTTTCCTGGAGGACAGCTCTTTGTTAAAGCTAAAACCACCCATTTAAAAAGGCCCAGCACCTTGCAGTAAGATTTCTTGTAAAGGCCAATTTATTCATCATCATCATCATCATCTTCATAGTAACGATTCCTTTTGATCTGTTCTTCCACTGATAGATCTTCCATATCTTCACCCTCCCAGAAACCAACATCTTGGGATTTGCGATTCTGGTTAGGAGAGGATTCCTTAGCAGTCATGACATTGGCTAAGCTGGAATGTTTAGGAGAATTTGGTTCAAGGAATTCTTCATTTGGAATGTCCTGCTCTTCCATACTGTGTTCTTCCTCATCTATCTCTGCATTCACCTGGCCATTTTCTACAAAGTTATGCTCTACTCTTTTCATGCCAGACAATTCCTGTTCTTCCTCTACATTTTGCTCTTCTGTCTTCCTATTCTCAACCTTCTTTTCCTTTTGCTTTTTGTCTACCACTACTTCTCTGTCCAATTCCTCACTTCTTTTCAACATGTCTCTCTCTGCCTTGGGAGGAGATGGTGAATTCTCTGGTTTATGGCCTTTAACAGATACTGTTCTAAACGAGGCTGCGACTGTAAAGGGACGACTTCTCTCCTTCAGTGAGGAAGACCTTCTTAACTTCTTGAGATCCAGATCCACCTCCTCCAGCACATCGGGCTTGGAACTCTCTTCCTCTGGGGGCCATTTGGGTTTGAGTACTTTGATGCCCTCATCTAAGGCACTTCCTTGACTGCTTTGGTCAGATGGAGGCGGCCAGGCAATCCTGAGCTTTTTAGTTTCTGCTGGTCTCTCTTCCCTTTCAGGCAAAGCTGAAGCTTTTGCTTCCATACTTGCTGCCAGAACCCCTACTTTTGCAATTGGTGCATCCTCTACTCCAGGGCTTTGTGGACTTTCTGTTGCATTTACACTATGGACAGTTTTCTCCAGGGATTCTTCACATTCAGTTTTGCCTGCCCATAATTCCTTATGCTGTTTGTGTCCAAAGCCTTCATCGTAGTTGCCTTTAGACTTGAAGAGCTGATTGAAGTGAGGCTTGCAGTAAATATTCCCACGCAGAGACGCGTATGTCCCAAGACTGTTTAGGAAAATACAAAGTCAATTGTTAACATTCTGAGCCTCAGCCACCCAGATGACTGTATATTTTAGTTATGTTACCAAAGAGATTCAATTTCAGTCCTCCAACATGTTTAGAAAAGACAGTCTTACCACTTTCATGAGTTTGCATGACCCTCTTTTCAAGTGTCAGGAGTTCTTCACAAAGTTGGACATTTCCCCACTTAAAATTCCATTAAGAGTTTAAAAATAGACTTCATCAAGTGCAAAAGCCACTGCCAGAACCAGGAGTGTATTAACACTCCTACACTCCTCTCCAATTCACTGGATTACGGCTGCCTTCAGCTCAGCTAAGCCTGAGCAGCACTGTCCTCAGCTGCTAGAGGAAAGCTGTACTTCCCATCCGGAGCAGTGTGTTTACCTGAGTTTACTGTTGCAATAGGAACAGCGGAAGCAGCTCGTGTGAAACACCTGCTGGTTGGCAAAGAGCCTTTCCATGGGGTACACGGTCTTCTGACACCCAACACACGTTTCCTTCATTGGCAACTGAAACTTCTACAGGAAGAAGAGAAAGTTAACTGGAAAATGAATCAGCTGCTGGGGACCTGGCTTCATGCACAGCTTCCAGAGCTCCCAGAATCATTGCAGCTATTCCCTTTCTGTAACTCAATGCTAATTACAGCAGAGTGGGTTCTGGTGGGCAAGGAGTAGGAAGAGGCAATGACAGGCCCATAGGATTGCTGTGGCTTGACACTGAGCCAGGATTTAACCCCAGTGAATTCCACAGCTGAAGCATCCCAAGTTGAGCAATGGTTGAGAAGGAACAATGAAACTACCAGAACTCAGTTTAACTCTGACTGAGCTAGTTCCCAAAAAGCTGTCTAATCAAGTTCTGCAACCTCCATTTTTCTTGACAGGGAAACGACAAAAAAACATTGAGGGAGATGCAGTCA